TAAAATATTCATACTTTCGCTCATTCGTTAGAAAATGACGTCTTTTTCCAACTTTTTACTCGAGGGAACGATTTAATTCGGTTTTATAAAACTTTATAATGCCCGAATAATTTTGGGCCCGATCTGCCATTACACTTGCATTCAGGGTTTACAAACTACAAGACATATATTTTCCGCGTACGGGAAACCATACATTTCTCCACAGTATTAAGAGGAGACCATATGGAGTCCATAAAATTCAGCAGTGAATTTGAGCCACATTGTTAACCCTACCAGCCATATTGGTAAATGCAGGGGCATGACTTTTTATGAGCAGTCATTTCACGGTATTGCACAATCTCACAATGAGAAACCTTTACAACCGAATTATACACTCCCTTCGACTATAAAATTGAAAGACGTAATTTTCTGCTGAAAGAGCAAAAGAATGAATATTTTTATGTGCTTTTTCCAAGAAATATAGTTGAATTTTTAAAAGCACGAAAATCAGTGCAAAAATGCATGCTACATAAGTAGGTAAGATGTGGTTTGGTAGCCCCACCTGATGGACACAATACGCTTGGGGTTGGGGTTAGGGTTAGAGTTATGGTTAGGTGTTATGGTTGTGTGTTATGGATAGGGGTTTGGGTTAGAAGTTAGGGTTAAAGGTTAGGGTTAGCGGTTGAGATTTAGGATATGGAGCTGTAGCTACGAGCTAGGGTTGAGGGTTAGCGAAACTATTTCTCCCCCATTGAAAGTACAACCACGCACTCCTTATAGCTTTTCTTTTGCATACCACTACTTGACCTCGTCGCCTGTGCATTCCCCGGCCCCACCTGTGAAAACACCTATTACCACCGGTCCTCTAACAGGGGACTGGTGGTAATAGGTGTTTTTACAGGTGGGGCCGGGGACTGCACAGGCGTTTACTTCAGGTGGGGATACAAAACCACATCCGGCCCATAAGTAGTCATTTTTTTACAGAAGAAAGCTTTTACATGCAGTCGGAAAAAGTTCGTTCGAAAGCAGGCAACCTGAGGTAACTGAATTATTATAGAATTATGCTGCATGGTGATCAGTCTTACAACCCTGCTTAATTAGTCTTTTCGCAACGAAAACGCATTTCTGAATTTCGGTTGACATTTCATTAGTTAGCCCACCTATTGTACCTTATTGCAAGCCAACGTCAGTTTTGGAGGGCTCAGGTATACTACAGGTTTCGGAATATTCATTTTGAAGAGGAATGGGCGCGATGGCAGTTCTGGTAGGGTTAGGCTTAAAAAGGTATAGAAAGTCAGACGACTGGTCCACAAGGTTTAGGACATCCCAGCATAGAATGACGTTGTGTTTGCTCGTAAATATTCATTTTGTCTAAAACCACCTCTGTCTGTCTGGTTAACTAATCCTACTTTCGAAAAAAATTGTCATTATCACATCAAGAACGGTCAGTCGGTGTCCAACAAAGTAGTAGACTGAATAATGTCGAAAATAGGTCTAAATCAAGATGAATGTTCAAGGAAGCCAGAAAACTGGTCCCCTTAAATGCAATTGGAGAAAATTTGGATGCACGGACGAAAACAAAAGAGTTTTTCAGGGAGGTTCGAAGAGACCTCTAAAAAGAATAAGCCCACGACAGGCGCACCCTGAAGGTTGTAAAAGAAACACACTTAAGACGCGGGAATTCACCATGCATCATTTGAGGCGCATTATGAGCTTAGTGTAGAAAAAAAATGTGTCCTTTTTGTGAAGCATTTATTTCCTTTTTATCCGCTTGCATTCTCATCTGCCGAGATATTGTGTGTCAGATCCATTCACTTGCACTGTCAGGTGACTCGATCTTACAACGGTACAATGTTGACATCTATATTTTTCACAGGGCAGTACCGATCTCTCAGTGGCTGACGACAAGGTATGTGAACGTTCGATTTAAAAAGGGTTCAGTTGAGTTTTTGCCTGATGTTTTGTTCCAGCCTCCACCCTAACAGAACAACCCAACTCTCTCCTTCAGGCCGATACAACTGCAAATGATTACGTTTTCGGGAATAATCCCTTACTTTTGCCAAACTGTGGAAAACCCAGCGACCTCAGTAGGACTTAAGCGCACGACAGCAATGGCAAGGTTTTAGTACAGCCAACCTTCTAGCCGCCTGAGTTACGAGGCCTTCATTAGGAGCCGTGATTTTGATCTCATTTGCGCCAAGTTACCCGTTCATCCCACTGGAACGTGCAGAATCCATCAAAACGGGTTTTCTAATTTGGATTGAGTGACTTCTCTGCGACGGAGAGCGCCAAATTTGCAGAAGGGAACTCACTAAAGCCGTTTTCGGCCCAGACCTTGTAGAAAGTTGGTTTGAAGCTTCATTTCACGCGGCTCATGTGATGGTAAAAGAGCGTTGTTTTTTCTTGACAACAGGATATGGCCAGCTCGTCAGCTCAAACTCTTTCTTCAGTTGGTCTGGAAATGAATTTCGTTTGATCGAAATGTTCCGGTCCTGTCATAGTTAGAATTTTCTCCTTCCCTGAAAATTACTCCGCTTGCTTTTTTGCCGGGCTTATAAAAACTCTGTAGTGCGCAATTTCACTTAAAGTTAACCGCCGGTTAACCCAGGGTCCTCGCAAAACTTGGAATCCAGATTCGGTCACTCCTGACACAAAAGGAGTACGCGTCAACACTTGCCGGGCTGTCCACGGTCTGATGACTAATCAACTAAGTGCTTAACCGCATTCATCGGGTAAGCACGCAAGCCCAGAGCAGCTGATTAGGGCTATGTACCGCAGCCGCAGCAGCTGCGTTTTCGTCCCTGTCACAATGACACATCATCCGACGCTACCGGACAGGGCATCGTACAAGCCTTGGGACTGCGGTTTTGTAGTTGGGCGGAACACCAAAAGTGAAGGAACTAGAAAGTGTGCCCCAGGTAGGATTATCTGGTGGAATGCAGCAGTGGAGTTGAGGATGAGGTGTTCCGCACTTCCCTCATCTTCCCCACCCCCCCCCCTTCCTACTCTTCCCCCTCTCTCACCTTCTTCTCTTCCTTCCCCCTTGTTCGTCGTTTGCCCGATTTTTTGTGCGTCGTAATTCAGCTCGTTGATACGTGGGCCCTCATTATTCGGGCATTCTTTACTCTTCTACGGTTGGTTCCCTAAGAATCTCCAGAACGTCGAAACGGCGCTGGATGCAAGGACGTATTCGCAACCGCGCATCTGTATGTTAAAGAGAATGTTTCCGTCCTGATGGTTTAAAATCGACTTTAATTAGTGCCGAGCTGAACCGCGGCTATGTGGCTTTGTGTGAAAAAAGCCAGCAGACACTTGGATACACGTTGCCTCAGTTGTGATCGCAAAAACTCATCTTGTCGACTCTAAAGAATGGCCACATTTGTTTGCTCTCGCCTTAGGCGGACGCCGCGAACTGTCTCAAGGGTAAAAATTGTCGGCACTCAGACTCTTATTGTTTTCCCAGAGGCCTTTAAATGTGTTCAGTGATAGCCTGATGTCTTTTTCGTGCATTACTTCATTCTGTCATAGGCGGTGACGTTTTGCAGGTTTTATTTAGCCTTTACTTCAAAATAACTGTCTTCATATCACTTTGCTGATCACCTCAGAGGGACTGGTCAGTATCGTGTGCCAAGACATATCAGCAGCAACTTCAAACACAGCCTTCTCAAAGCGTTTCAGGTATATGCGGAAAGCAGCCCTCCGACTGTGATTTTTCGCTCTTATTCTGCGCTGACTGGAAGAAACAGTTAGCAGGCGGCTGGATTACTCTTCAAATTACTTCGAAGGACGAGTTCACGACCAAAAAGCCCTAACTGACCCGAGTATTAGCGTAAATACACTAAAAATCCAGTCGTCCGCATGCTTTCACTGACTATAACGATTTTTTTAACAGAAAGTACGCATTGCACTATGCGATCTACATGTCGTATAGAGTGTCAAATGTGAACTTTTGAAAGAGCCACAAAGGCGCAAAACCTCCTTACACAGAGATACTGTTGGCAGCATTAAAAATTATTTTTGTCCTTGATTAACTTAACCGGGTGCATTTGTTGTATCTGCTGGGTTAAGACGTCCAGCGTCCGCCCGATTAAGATGGGTTTTTACCAAACAATCACGTTGGTCCATTTGGCGCTCTAGATATGGGATTTAATCCGTTTTTAATAGGCGAGAACACTGGGGCAATTGATCGCCTGTCGTTTGCGTGGTCTGCTGATTCAGGCTTCACAACAAACTGATTAACTTACATTCTGTCCTGTAGTCAATATACATTTTACTACGGACCCATGAGACATGGGGCGGTGGCGCAGCTGGTAGAGCAATAAAATTAAGGGTCTTTGACGATCTGATTTGTTCTCCGTATTCGTGCACCCTAGGGATACGACTCCCCAGTAAGAGCAATAAACGATAAACCGTAATTTCTGAAATCCGCGTTTATTTTATTGTCAGTTCTTAATTGGAAAATTAGTCTGTAACGATTTGAAAAAAGCGTAAATAGCATAAATAAATAAAATCTAAATATGAAATATACATAATATATCTAAATTTATATAATAAGTGTGTAAAATAATAAATAAATAAAAAATAAAAAACATGTAAATCACTTCAAGGTGTAAAACTTTAAATAGCTATTCGCTCGTCGACGTCTACTGTATCTTTCACAGCGGAGTAAGAACAGGAGCGGCGACCCGCGCACAAATTAGTTTATGATGATAGTAAACCTGCGCTGCATATACCGCGCTCTCTTCTCCCCCCCTCTACGCGAGCCCGATATCATGGCCAAATGAAGAAGAGAGGAAGGGGGGGACGACGTAGTTGGCTGGCACGGCGAGAGCATACACCCAGGGGTATCATCACGCCCACGTGCACTGATCAGAATTTTGCACCAATAAAACGGGGGGCTGTTAGGATCCCAAATGGCTCGGCACGGGCCTGCAACCGGACGTGCCATCACACCCCAAATGCTGACTCTTGTTATGGGTGCGCACTACCGATAACGCCCGCTGGACTCCCGTCCAGCCCCCATGTTGGTGCAGTCCATTAATCGCGTGACCCGCCATAGGAGCACAGTATGTAGACATATCTAGTAGCTGGCTCATCTCATGAAATGTTGAACGACATTCTGAAACGTGTTTTCTATTGAAAAGAATAACTTAGGTTGGGTTTTACTATTAATTACCGTGAAGGGCAATTTCAAGATACTTTAGTCACGTCAGGATGCCGGCTTTTGGGTGAGTTTTCTTCGACCCTCTGCAATTGCTGCACTAAAAAGAAATGGCTATTTGATCCAAATACATATCTCCTACTCATTTTTGATGTCCATATAAGCGCAAATTTAAATATTCTCCTTTTAAATTTTTAAGATAATCACATCCTCTTCAACTTTATTTGAAGAAACGGTATTTTTCGATTTAAAAAATTGCCAAAAACCGGATAACTTTGAGCCCAACCTGCGTTTAGAGTTTCCATTCTGCACATCATGCATTTGGCGTGTAAAGAAAGGCACACATTTTTCTCTATTTAGCTTCATCGTTAAGAGGACATAATATACTAATCATGCGATTTTTAATGAATGCAAGTCGTGTTGTATATCTCGTAAACGACATCAATGAACAAACAGATATGATGCAGTATGAATGGACATTTAACTGTTTTAATAAATCGTACGGTAGTAAACCATTTAAACGTCAAAACATTCTTATTTTCAGTATCAAATTCGAAGAAAACGTCCATTGCTAGCAAAGAAGAATATTCTTACGCAAATTTTCTATAAAACCTGTCCGAACATCAGCGGAAAACGTACACTATTTGAGAAGCCCCGTCGTAACGACTGTAATTATTGCAGACAGCCGGAAAAGCTCATTCAAAAGCCGATGTCGTGGCGCAACCGAACTGTCTTTGGATCCTGATGCACGCTTATCAGTATTGCAAACCCATCTAAGTAATCTTGTCTAGTCGGAATTTCGGTTATCATTTAATAAGATAGGCCAGATGCCGTAAGTGTTTATATTTGTGCATGAATATATGGTTTGAATTTTACCCGACCTCCATGCCAGTGATGCACATTTTAGGTGCTGCAGGCGAACTATAAATTCGATCGTGCTAAGCGCATGCACACGCAGCGGATGGCGTTTTTTCTTCTTCTTTGGTCGGCTGAGATCTAGGACTTTTCTCGATGTTTTTTGTTTAAAAGGGTAAATAGTATGACAGTCAAGGAAAGGCATAAGCAGAAGGATTCGCGGAGTGTGTGTTATGACACAGGGCAATACGATGAGTCAGTGATTTCCATCTCAGCGACGCTACTACGTCTATAACGTAAATCAGGTTATAGAAGGATGGGAAGAGGATGATGATGATGATGATGATGATGATGATGATGATGATGAGGAGGAGGATGATGATGAGGGGGAGGAGGAGGAGGAGGAGGAGGAGGAGGAGGAGGAGGAGGAGGAAGAGAAAAATAAGAAAGTGATGTTCCAGCAAAGAGCATAGAATGAAAGATAGAATGGGAATGAATTAAGAGCCAGGAGGAATCGAGGATGAAAAGCGAGAGGAGGCGAATAAAATTGTCCGGTTTGGCATCTGCAATGGCTCAACTATGAAAAGAAATTAAGTTGAAACAGCCAACAGCTTCCTTGCCCAATAACAATAGAAGAAACCTGTGTCAGTCCTTATGCACATTTTAGTAGACAGCCGTCACCATTCTCATTTGTGGAACTAGGCTAGAGCAGTTTTTAAAACACGAGTGTTAATCTCGGAGTAGAAAGTCTTAGACATGAAATGAATGGGGTTGTGTCGATGTCAAAAAGGACATACGAATAAAAACTTTGGCGTGGCAGAGAAGTATAACAAATAATACATTTGGAGAAAGAGGTCTGGCTTAAAGTTCCCGGCTTGTGATCTGGAAATTGTCCGGAAAACGCGTAATGTTTCTAGACGTTGTTCATGTGGCCAAAGTACTCTCAATGAATGTTTCTATTCCAGTGACCTTAACCTTACATTCCACATTTCAGAATTTTCTACAACTCTATCTACGTCTTTCAATAAATCTTGCGTCCATTCTATCAGTTTTTATGAAGGCAGACAAGAAATAGATGATGTTAAAAGACAAACCGGAGAGCGAATTATTAAAAAAACCAATTCCGGAGCGAATATTTTCAAGCAAAGTTATGTAGATCATTCGCGTGATGTCGGCTGTCAAATGCTCATTTATGATGATTCTGGCATTTCCTTCCCATGCATTCCAAAACCTGCTCCAGATCTCAGCGGCTTTATAATACACGAAGTGAACGCTAAGGAATTGCGAAACAGATCTTTGACGTGTGCAACGACTTCTTCGCCGCATCACAAATGTGAGACTAGCAAAATTTGACTTTTTGTCTGTCTGTAAAGATGTTCGAATTCCCTTCTGCTTGAATTTGTTGCAATGGTACCTAAAAGTCATTCTACGTACCCAAATATAGGCTGTGTATTGTTTATAATTTACATAGTGATGTAGGGTTCTGTCTTCTTTGCCTGTAAGCACAACTAGAAGCATTCGTAAAAGACGAGTGGCTATAGAGGCGTGAGAAGATTAATGTGGGGTTGTTTTGGAAATGCTGAGTCTTCCTCCAGTCAGTCATAACCCTGACCACCAGCTCGGGCGGGGAACACAAACGTGTGCACATATACATGTCAGGTGATCCACGGACGCGGTCTATCGAATTGGTCATAAGCAGCTCATTGAACCGAGGCGTCCCGCCAACTGGCATCCAATCAGAGGCGAGCGCACGCCGATGTATTGGCTTTCCGAGACAAACAAGCTATGTATGGGTGGCGGAGGTTATGAACAGGCAAATATCAGCGAACAGGCGAGTCCCAGGTAGCAGTTCAGAAGATGAAGATGCGATCACTGGGACAAGAAGTTTATTGGCCTGACGTTTCGGGTTCTCATTCGAGCCCATCATCAGAGACATTCGCAGATAGAGGTAAAGGTGGCACCAGGAATGCAAATATCACCCCAGACTGAACTCCGCCAAACTGTGACAGCAGAAGACGGGGCCACAGAGAATAAAGGCAGAGTAAGTGTTGTATCAATCTACGCGCATTTTTCGTCTGTTATCATAGGTTGGCAGAGTTCAGTCTGGTTGGTATTTGCCTGTTCGTAACCTTCGCCACCCATACGGCGTCTGTCTGCTTCGGAATTTCAGTAGATCGGTGTGCACATTTTCATGACTGAATAGGTATTCCATCGGCAGCGACAAGTAGAGAGGCGTTGATGGAGTGCTTATTACCCATCTGTGACATGTGGAGTCTCTGTCTTCGCCAACTGGCACAAAACTGCTTTCATTCATTCAATCAAAACTCTGACCACAGAGGCGCGTGAATGACGGACTCTACCGAGCATTTCATCGACGCTTTTTGATTTCAAGAAGCGCTCATTCCTGTTTATATTGAAGCATATGCTTTTGAGTGAGTGGTGTACGTGGTTTTTTAGCCATTCAGCGCCGAATGCGGGCGTTGAGAGTCGGAAATCTTTCTTCTACGACGCAGGTAAAGCGGCGTTTGTTAACAGTTGCGGTTAGTGACAGTTAATGTTAACCCAAATCACAAAAAGACAACGTTCGCAAATGTCACCTTATGAAGTTGCTTAAGATTTCTCACGAACGAACCTTGGAGTCTTAATTTAACTCCTATCCCTAACGCCTACTCAAGCTCTGGGGTCTGACTCTACCACTGGGCCTGAACCTAGTCTTATACCTCTTACGTAAACCTAACCCTGGGAGGTAAAATTCGGACTATTTCAGGAGGGCCTTGCCTTGGTCTTAACCCTAAACCTAATCCTACGCTAGCAAATACTTTAGGCAGTTTCAGAAGACGGAGTTAGGGAACGTGTACCAATAGCGATCTGCTTTGCTTTCTGTCTGAAGATAAACTGTTTGCTTTTCGTGGAACCACGATTTACGGCCACTTAGAGTGCATTCAGCACTCTACGGCATTTTTCGCACTTTTTTCGATAGTCGTTTTCGGCTCATGCAGCAGTAACAGGTCGGATAGTCCCGACGGTCAAGACAGTCGACTTTGTTGCCGGTATATCTGTCAACCACAGCCGATCGCATGAGTGAGCGGCACTATTTTGTCTGGGACTGATTCAGCTAACGCGTCTGACGGTCAACTGACTACCGTCCGACTTACAGGCGATCGTCTGGGACTGCGGCATGGCTGACGACGTCCCATAAATCAGAAACGACAGATCCAGTGTCACGTGCTCTTCTCGATAACTCTTCTCGATTCCATGTTTGATAGCCACCTGTGAAACCTCTAGATTCTAAGTTTTTAATTCCATTTTAAATGCTCATCTCAGCGAACGCCGTCCACACTTAACTATGCACCTCTGTAGAAACGATGTTTTTACAATCACTTTAGTCTTGTGCACGGTTAGAAATTACGGTTTTCAGAGCAAATATTAATCTCTTGGTTGAAAAACCCTGTATCTAACTTCTCCTGACGGAACTCTGACCGATATCCGCCTCGGGCTCGCTAACTTACGATGAAACCGATTGGCTTGTGGCGACGGAGTCAGCATCTGAATCAACCCGATTATGCTGTCCTGAACGCAATCGCCAGGGTGATTTTCCTACAATCAGGCAGTGATTACCCTCGACCTGTCTCTTAGAGCCACACCGACAGACGAACCACTGGAAGTCGTAGATGCATTCAGGGTGAATGCTCTTTTTGAGAATATAGCTATGACACTTTATACTAGATTAGACGAAATTCAAGGGTTGGGTGCAGGTATATGGACGCCCCTTTGTTACAGGTAGCCTAAGTAGCCATGCTCTAAATTTCAAGGGATTTAGGGTTAACATCAGGGTTTGGAGGACTATGATAACTATCTTTTTCGGAGCCGTTCCTGTTGGGAGTCGGGGTTAGTGGTTAGGGGTTAATGTTAGGGGTTGGGGTTAAGGGTTAGGGGTTAGGCCGGGGCTTGTCTACTTCAGGTACGGCTACGAAATAAGATCTGACTGATCAGAGTTATGGAGTTAGGTTTAGAGTAGGGGTTATGGTTGGGGTTAAAGCTAAGTCGAGGAAGTTGGTGCCCCTCGGAATTTAAATAAATCGCCTTTCGTACGGAGATTCATATTCCCGGGTCGGATTTTATTTGGTTACTTCAGCTAAAATTCTTTCGTATTTCATATGTCTAAAATACTTAATTTATTTTGCAGGGTTTATGATTGAGTTTCGACGACTTAACTTTGGTGGACCGATTCTTACCAATAATTTGTTAACTTCATGTCCAACTTATGCCTCTCGAGAGGCACACTTACACGAGAAGGCCAAGTTGGATAAAGAATCTTTTGCAACCGCGACTGAGTTCACCCTAATGTGGTTGGCATCGGGCTGGCTATTACAGTCCAGGTTTTAACTGGTAGAGCGCAGCTTCTATTTGGTCATTGCTTGAGTCGTGAAATGCCTAAATGCGTGGCACTGTATTGGTACGTGATTGATTTTGGAGGTGAAGCGCTGTCAGAGTCTTGAATCACCGAACTTTGACGTTAATATATTTCCTTTCCCTCGCCAGCATATCACCGTCGGTGGAATTTGGATTTTTTAACTCCTCAAGGTAACCATCAGATACTTCTAAGTGACCAACAAGGTCCGTTGAATATGCATCTAATTACCAATAAATTAAATGAGGGAGTTTTAATCTGCGAAAGAGGGGGTTACTTAAAGGTTAAATAAATACACCGGCCACACGGAAGGGCAAGACGATTAAGCAGCAAGTAACCAATGAGCTGCCATGTACTCGCATTTTAGAGAGAACGGGGGGGTCTGTAGGCCAAGCCCCACTTTCCGAACATGGGGGAAATTGTCCCTTAATTCTGAAAATGGCGTGTACTGAGGGCGCTGTCAATATATTTAGTATCTGACTTCGCCTGGCATGCGAAGAAATAGTAGAAAAGGTTGAATATTAAAAGACTTATCTCACAGAGGCTAGTCCCTAGTGCCACAAGATGTGATAAAACATCCTTGTTTTTAAAATCAACAACTACAACTTGGGTTTGACAAATAGTGGACAAAAGTTCCTCACTTGGTCGGATGACTGGGATGCATCCGCTATATTTCTGTTTATAAAGACGAGAATGATTTACTCCCGATGGAGCGGCAGAAGATCCTATCCATCTAACGTTTCGCACTTGTAAGTAAGTATATTTTCGGGAACCAATGGTATGGATCAATTAATTTCTGAAGTAAGTTTCTGTGTCCAAATCGGATTAGGCGTTCAGATAGGAATGAAGAGAGTGGCAGCACATTTGGAGTCGGTCACCTCGCTACACGCTATCCACCTCGAGTCTTGTATTTTGGAGGCAAACGAAGTGGCAAAAGCCAGATTTTTAGGCGCATACTAATGGAATAGGTTAAAAACTATACCACAATTAAACCCTAAACCGAGTACTTAACCCTAGCGGCAACGGTATAGAGAAGAACCCCACCTACCGGTTAATAGACTG